GGAGTTGCCCCGGGACAGGGGCCTGGGTGGCGGGAGGTCCTGGTGGCTGCAGGCAGGGCAAACAGGCTGTCTGTTTAGGCAAGGAGGGGAACGGAGCGGACCCTGCCAGCCAATCCACGGCCTCTCCAGCCCAGTGTTTGCTGATGGAACAGGCAGTCAGGTGTGTCAACAGAGCGGAGTGAGGTGGCCCTGAGCTGCACACACACGGGCTGTCCCTGGAGAGTCATGGAGACACCACGCAGGGCGCGGCTGGCAGGCGCCCTGGAGCCTGCTGCCCTGTATGCCTGCCAATGGGGGTGCTCAGCGTGCGTCCCGGCTGGGGCTCCAGTCCCCTCCCCGGCCTGGCTCAGCCTGAGGAGGGGCCCGCAGGGCGTGGCACCCTCTCTGGGAGGAGACAGCCCCTGACGTTCCCGGTCCCTCCCCTGGGGAAGTCCCGCCATATGGATGCCAGGCTTGACGCCGCCACTAGCTGGGTGGGTGACCCCGTCAGTCCCGTGCTCGTCTCGACTTCAGTTTTACTCTCTGAAAGTGAGAGACGGGGAGAGAAGCAGGTCCCCAAGGGGACCCCCCCGCCCCTTCCCTTCCCTTCAGCCAGAGCAGCTCAGCTCTAAGCAGTTTGCCTGGTGATTCCTTCGTGTGCCAAGCAGAGGCCCGGCACCCACTCCACGCCGGGTGGGTGTGAAGTCAGACGAGGCAGCCAGGTTTCCCAGCCCAGAGCCCTCCCTCTTTTCTTTTTTCAAAAAAATATATATTTATTGATTTCAGAGAGAAAAGGAGAAGGAGGGAGAGACAGAAACATCCATGATGAGAGGGAATCATTGATCGGCTGCCTCCTGCAACCCCGCTACTGGGGATCGAGCCCACAACCTGGGCATGGGCCCTGGACTGGAATTGAACCTGGTACCCTTCAGTCCCCAGGCCGACGCTCTATCCATTGAGCCAAACCAGCTAGGGCCCTCTTTTCTTTTTAAAAGTAAATATATTTTTATTGATTTCAGAGAGGAAGGGAGCAGGAGAGAGAGAAATAAAAACGCCAGTGATGAGAGAGAATGATTGATCGGCTGCCTCCTGCAGGCCCACACTGGGGATCGAGCCATGACCTCCTGGTTCCTAGGTCGATGCTCAACCACTGAGCCACACTGGCCCGGCAGAGAGCTCCCTGTTTAGAAGGGGAGCCCCCAGTCCCAGAGCCTGCACTGGGGCTGTCGCTGGTCTGCCTTGGGCCCGCCGGTCGTGTGTGGGTCTTCACAACGCGAGTCCAGGTGATTTGGGGAGTTGGTTCATTAAAGCTGGGGACCGGGAAACAGAGGAAGGGCTTGAGGTAGAAGAAACAGCAGGAGGAATTCAGAGGAAAGGGGGCCTCGGAGTCAGGATCAGGGGTTGGCCCGGCACGGGCTGCTGGTTGCCCGTCTCACGTGTCCCCTAGGAAACGCGCAGAGATGCCAGGCGCGGGGTGTCCCAGCCAGAGCGCCCAGCGACCCCTTCGTCTGGAGGCTTCTTGTCTGGTCTTGGCCAGTGGGAGCCCTCGGGGAGGTCTCGGGGGAGGGTTTTACTGGAATATTCATTAGCTTTTCAGGCGTGTCCTTCAATATGTTGACTCATCCACATGTGTGTACAGACGGGTCAGGGTTCTTTTCTGGTTGGTTTCATTCTTAAAGAGCGTCACGGAGAACGGGACCACGGCTGGTCTGTCCTGGGCGGCCCGGATATGGAGACCATTGCTCCCTCATGTCTTTGTTTAGGGAAGATAGAACCTTATGACTTATTAGCGGCCTGTAAGTTGCTTACATTGTTTGGCCTTATCGAATTGTTTTGTCTCAGTTTCCCTGACTCCACGTGTGGCCGTGTGGCTCTGAAAGCCGGCTCCTGGTGGCTCAGCCCCGTTGCTGTTGTTCTTACCGGGATCGAGAGGGCTCCTCCCGTTTTAGGAAGGGGCAGCCATGGAGAAGAAGCCCCCGCATCCAGGCAGGGGTAGGAGAGAGGGGCCGAGGACCCCCAAATTGGTGGGCAGCCTGGGGTTGGGTGGAGCTACAAGGTGCAGGGAGGCAGTGCCTCTGCCCCCCCACCCCGCCTTCTCCTTCGCACCCCATCCACACCCCAAAGAAGCCAGCGTTCAATCGTCCTCGGATGGACCCCAACACACACAGGCACCCCAGGCCTCACGCTGGACAAGCACCTTCCTGCACTAACTAGGCCAGGTCGGCGGCGGGAGCAGGCGGTGAGCAGCCAGCCGTAGAGACGCCGAGGCTCAAGCGTCAGGAAAACGAGTCATTCGGTGTCCATCAGGGGCCAGGCAGAGCCCCCGGCCTCCTGAGTCCCCAGCCTGGACGCCTGCCACATCTGTGGGAGCAGCGTGAGGCTCACAGCACCCTAACCCGGGCTCGCGCCACCCGGCCCTTCCAGGGGGCCCAACCCCCATGGGTGCACCCTCTGGGGAGACTGACTCCCCAGGAGAAGCAGATGGTGCCGGGCCTGCCTGGAACTGGCTGTCCCGGAGCCCAGCTGTTGCACAGATGTGGGGGGGAGGGTAGGATGGGTGAAAGGCAGGAACCCTCGCAGCTCCGGTCTGAGTCACCGGCAGCCCGAGTGGTAATGAGCTGATTACAGTCATTACAGGCGGATGACAGGAGCACACGGCTCACCCCAGCAACCGCCAGGGACGGGCGGATCCCACGCAACTGCCCCCGCTGCCCTCCCACCGACCGCGACTCCCAGGCAGCCTCGATGGTCTTGACACGCCTCATTAGGGCCTCCTGGGTGTGCCTGCCGGCCCGCTGCCCAGACATCACCCCGTCCCTGGGCGTGGCAGCGGGCACTGGAGCCTGACTTGGAGCCTTGATAAGTGGGCATAGTGATGCCCACCCAGGGAAGCTGGTATGAAGTCCCCTGTCCACCTGGAACTGGGGTAAGGACGGGGTGTGGCAGGGACCCCGCTACCAGGGCCTGTCCTTGCCCGTCTGGTCACCTACCAGGGGTCTGGAAAGAGACGGGGCACCGAATGGGGGCCAGGACCTCCTGGGCCTGTGCCGGGCAGCTCCTGTCCCCTGGGCTCCATGTCTGCCCATCTGCTTCCCCTCCAAGCGCAGGAGCACAGATCCCACGTGTCCCGCAGCTCAGGGCGGGGTCCCAGGTGGCAGTGACACAGCAGGTAGCTGAGACTTAGTGCTTCCATGTCTGACGGCATTGCTCTAAGTGCTGGGCATGTCTTTTTAAAATCTATTTTATTGATTTCAGAGAGGAAGGGAGAGGGAGAGAGAAACATCCATGATGAGAGAGAATCATGGATCCGCTGCCTCCTGCACACCCCCTACTGGGGATGGAGCCCGCAACCCGGGCCTGTGCCCTGACCGGGAATCGAACCGTGACCCCCTGGTTCGTAGGTTGACGCCCAACCACAGAACCACACCGGCCGGGCTGGACATGTCTTCATTCACTTGGTTTCATGGCAGCCCGATGAGGTGGGCCGTCGCCATTCGATAGATGAGGGGACGGAAGCTCAGAGGGACCGAGTCACTGGCCCGAGGTCACACAGCTGGTAAGCAGCGAAGCCGGGCTTCAGTCTCAGCACCCTTATTCCAGAAGGCTTGCTCCAGCGGCCCGTCTGCCTGGCCCGCCCCTGCCCAGGGCCTCGTCGCCCTAGTTGGCGCCCGCCGCTCCTCTCCTCTGGAATCACCTCTGGGAACACACTTCTCATCGTACTTGTCGCCTTGTCAGAACCTCTGTGGTGCCCCGCTACTCCCTGCACAGGCCTCTTTCCAGCATTTGGACCCCATCCCTCCTGACCAGCCTTCCCGCCCCT